ATACTATAATGTTAGCAATAATAATTATATTTATAGTATAACAAAGAATATACAGTTGGCACCGAAAATAAATCATAAATTAGTTAACTTTGAATTCTGGTGATTGCAATCATTTTTTCTCTCGGTGCAGCGAATGCATTTTTTTTTTTTTCAGAATTATTCGACAAATTTTTATAAAATTATTTATCAAACATTAAGTTTCAATATTTAATATCTTAACAAAATTGTAACTTAAAATGTTTATAATAGAAGTAAATTAAAACAAACAATCAGATTTTGTTATCTTGCATCTTCAAGATTCAATTCGTCAATATCTGATAAATAATTTTATATGATGAATAATTTTATAACGTCAATCTTTCACCGTTTTTCTCAGTCTATCCTCTGATGTATACTAGCGAAACATATCCGATATGCTCTTGTTTGGATTTACAGAGATGAGATTTCTTGATGAATAATGAACTCTAGCTATTGCGATAAAACGTTTGCGAAAACAATCTCTGCTATTTTAGTAATATTGTGCGCTTGGATGCAGCGATAAGACGTGATGCGCGTGAATAACACGTGACACAACATTTCACAATGTTGTAAAACACTTTATGAATTAAACAGCGATTGTACAGAATTACTGAACTCGTGAGTTATCAGATAAATAACATGTGTAACGCTTCTTGTACAGATTTTGTTGGTAATTCACAAAGGAGCTATTCAGAGATGTAACATTAATCAACTCATTCCAACGGACATTCGGGATTTATATGTAATTAAACCGCCCTTCATTTCTAACCAAGCTTGCGTTACTCCGCTAACGCAACTGTTAAAATAACGATCTGTTACAATAAAATAAGAACACTATGCAATCGCCATTTTAAACGATCAAAAATCGAATTCGCAACGGGATTTGAGACCAAATTATTTATTACTTTACGTGCTGTATAGAAAACAAAGAATTGAAATATACATACATCGAAATATAACGTAAATATCCATACAGTGAATGCAAAAAGTATTTGTACAGGAGAATTTTTAAAAACCTTATTTGTAGACAATAACAATATTAATTAGCCTTTATAACAATATTAATTAATAATTTTGTACAATGAGTACGTTCTGTTATAATATAAACAAAAGAGTTAAGTTCGCGTCTTTTATACGTCCAAATATAATATAATTTTCCATTCTCGCTTATTTTTAAGAAATATACTCTATTAAAAAAGAAGCGTATTTTATTACACCTTATCTTTTCGGGTAAAATAAGTCTGAGAAATACATACGGTTTATTTTACTCTTTGTTAATAAATTGCACATATATTTACTTTTTAAAAATGAGAAGCTTTTAAAAAAGATATCTCCCCTGTGCAAATATTTTTTGCGCTTACTCTACATAAGCTTGTGTATATTAAAATATACAATGCGTAAAAGTTATAAATAAAATTCCGTTCCAAATTTTATATTGCCGGAGATCTAAAGTGGGCTTCGAATACAGATATAAATATAAGAGATTTCATATTGCAGCCAATATCTTGCTATAAATATTCACGACATCGCAAAAAATAATGCGAAGTCAGGCAAGACTTTGAAGAGGGTTCTTGATAGAAATAGGAGCGGAGCACATCTGCGGCGTCTGTCACATCCGGGACAAGTATCGCAACTATTTTCGACGTTATTTGGCACACCGCAATATCATGCCTAGAATAACATTGAAAAGCCTCATAACATGAGAAGAAAGCCTACTCATAAAATCTCAGTGCAGATCGAAAGATATCGTCTCTTTCACCAGCCATTCAAAGATCTCCGCGTTCAT